GAAAGTGTGGACCCAACAGCCAACCACGATTCAGTAGCTGTTTAATACCGGTTATCAGTGGCGCGTCCAGAAGGAATCAGGATTTCCAGAATGTTGTCGCTGCATACGCTTTAGATACGACGAGCTGTACATATGTTTGTGACCTGATTTGGGAGGGTCAAGCCGAGAACTGAGCCGAGGTATTCCCGTTGTAACGACATACGCCAGCACATTATGACCTGTCTGCTACATTACAACTCATCATGATCACCTCAATTGGCAGCGAAAGTGATCGCGCAGGCCAACGAGCAAACCGTAACTCAAGTATGCGTGGCAATGCTGTGGAATATAGGTAGCTCGGGTGCGCGGATTGGTTATTGGTCTGTTCGCATTGTGGGTGGACCCACTCAACCCCGTACCGAAGATGTCACTTCGGTTGGTGATAAAACTGCCAAACCCGGCGAACTGGTCGACAACCAATCAAAGATGCATTTAGTTACTGTCCATTTTGCGTAATGCAATTTTTGAATCAGTATGAGTACAATGAGACGTCCACCAAAATACACAATATGACAGAGAATGATTTTAGTCTGGCAGTAAGTGATCAAACTCCGTGTCTGGTTCACACAACCTCAATCCCACAATTCAACTGCACGAAGAACCAAGTTTTCACGACAGGATTTATTCCAAATCCGCATCATGACAGGCGATTGCAGTTGAAATCTTACTAGATCGGGGTCGGAAAGGACCAAGTTTCCACATCCGCATCACGACAGGCGATAGCAGTTGAAATCTTACTAGATCGGGGTCGGTTACCTACGGATGTGAGAAAATAATTGAACTGACAGAAAGGCCAAACTTGGCTTGCTAGTGTATGGGGGGACACGAATGTGCAACACATTACGCACAGTAAACAGAAAGTCGATTGTGACACAACTAAGCCGACAGCAGAAAAAAAGAGAGAAAGAAACGCCACGACTCCACCCCTTCATTAGCAGCTCAGTCCTACGAGCCGTGGTTTGGCATTTGGTAAGACTGAAATGCTGTTTTTCGATTCGCATATGACCTGAAAATCGAACGATTTTGGGCTTAGTGTCAACCCAAAATTAGTGTCGTCGGTTAGCGGATTAAGTAAACACAAGAGACAAAATAAACCTGGTGCAGATTAAAGCGGGATAATGTTATAGTAGGGAACTGTGGACAGCTGCTGTAAAGACGTAAAAAAACATACTACTCATTGGGTTGCTGAAAACTCCCCCACAGTCCAAAAACTTTTTCGCCCTTCTTGGGCTCTGTATTGGTGGTTTTTTACCATAATCCACTAAACAGTGCTGGCTGAACCTTCCCAGGCATTGACCACTTGCGGCTGACAGGCCTTTTGTTTTGGACCTCACTGTGGAAGAGCTGCTCTTCGGTGTGCACCAGTCGCGGGAATATTCTGTCATCTGACCACGAGTGTAGGCTGTGATCTGAGTAGCACTAGCAGTGACGGAGATTCACTACATAACTTAAGGATGGTGTCGACACAGAGAACGGACCTGTCACTTCAGTTCGGCTGACCCTGCTGGTATGATAGAAGAATGATCCCCTCAAAGACGATGCCCGCATATTCTGAATTTTGGAGACAGACGGATGAAACAGTTCTGGTTAATAGTAAGGAGATGAATAATACTACCATGGCCAGCTACCACTAGCGAAAGGTATGGTTAAACCCCACTGGAAGATGGTACCACACTGAGACTGAAAAAAAAATGAAAATTGCATACATATTGTATGGACCTGATAAGTGAATTCGTCAATGCACCAGTCCGCCTGATGACCACGCGAATAACATATTCAGCTCAGGATGCTACCACGTGTTTGTGGAGCAAACATGACAAGGGTATGCTTAAGCCCTGGGGTGTGGGATTGTACAAATCCTCAACTTGTATGGATGTAACATGCTACTGATGAGATTGCGTAGAGCTGTTCGACAACCCACGACCGATCTCGTCATTCTTGGGGCTCATTAGTTAGAGGTAGTCCCCGAGTTTCTGTTAGCCTCATGTGCACTAAATTTGTAAAACGATAGGGTTTTCGGGCCAAATAATTGCCCACTAGAGCCCGATACCGTAATTGATGCGCGCGGCAGCATAAGAAGTGAGAGATTTATGCCTTATTCCCTGCATCCTAAGGTTAGACCAACCCCACGAAGCCGAGCAGATTAGACTTCTAAATCATTGTCAGCGGATAGGGTCCATCAGGAAAAACTTATCAGCCACTGTCTCGTGGGTTACATTTGTGACTCGGAGTTCGCCGTTGCGAAATTCCGGTATAGAAATTCACACTGCGTAGCCTGATGGCTACCAAGTGCAGGTCACTCTCGCGACCCTAATTGGATCCCATGGCTATATGCCACCGATAGAATCGTTCCTTCTGGGGCATACGACTCAATTCCGATCACGAGCACACCTGATAATTTGCCTTTCTTCAGATCCTTACAAGTCACCCAGAGGGATAGCTGTTTCCGGAGAATCACAACAATTCAGTAGCATCGATCTCAGCTACCTCGACTACTCCCTACAGTAAACCAGCACTGTACTGTTGCGAGCAAGTAGAACCATTGTAAAATGCGAAAGGACCTGTGCTAAGGTGGACAAAGAACGTTCAAACAATTACTGTTGACCTGTTCACTGGGCTGCATCGCAGAAGATTCATCGTCATTCGAGCTGGTATAGCCAGCTGAAAGTAGCTAATATCTCCAACGTGATTGGCTGACAAGGAGTTCGTTCTCTTGCTGCCGATTGGTCCGTTCTGTGTCTGTGGGCAAGCCTGTTTGTTCGGTTCAACTGGTGTGCAGTGAGTGCACAGGAAGCCATGACCAGATCTGCGTTCGACCATCTTGAATGCATAGTTCACAGCTTCATGAGCCGGAGTGAACTGAGTCCTAGTGAAAGAATGTCCACCGCACATAGAATATTTCCACATTGGCGGACCGTGAACACTCCTAAACGCAGGGCTTTTAAATCTCAAAGACATTTGGATTCGAATCATCCTGCTATTCCAAAAGATGCTCCTAACTATTTTGTACCATGTTCCCAACTGTTCTGGAAATACGGAGAGTAGAAGAAACACCAGGTATGAAATTCAAACAAAATCGCCCGGGACTGTGGGTGCTAAACAGCTCCCGAGTTGTATTGTCGCATCGTCCATATCGAATTGGTCTGGTCTAAATCACCGACGAAAATTCCACAGAACAGCAATGCTAAAAACACTTGGAAAACAAGCGGTGGTCGACGAAGGACTCTCAACATTAGAGTACACTTTATACCCAGACTGAACAGGCAATCAAGAATTGTGTCTTAAGGACTGAGGCGTCCTGATTGCACGCTCACGACTGACGCTGAACTCAATGTGATGGGTGAAGGAGCTGGTCTTTGAGAAGTGCCTAGTTGAAGCTACAGTATCGCATGAACTTTGAGGTCAACATCATACTAGTAGCAAAAGTACAATGAGCGCAACCTGCATCCGAGGAGGTGAAGTGTGGTAAATATCTTTCAAAACAGAATCAACAGCGCGTGGAACAGATGCGGAGTACTGCCAGGTCGCCAAAATCCCCAGGAGTAAGGGGACCTTCAAGTTCTGGTCTTTATTCATGGTATGGATATCTTGTCAGCAGGAGCCGAAACGATGGCAGACAGCCCGATCAGCGGTGGCATTCGAGACACAGTGGCTTTCAGAACAAAAGTCAAGGGGAACAAGCGACCCACCCTAGTTTTATCCGCCCCGAGTTAGTTAGTGAACGTTTGGAAAATCTGTGCAATAGGTGCCAGGATGGTATTCAGTTTGATGCGCCTTCAGTCCCCTCTTCCAGATTATCAACTCACTTGTGCAACTCGAACAGTGTGCGCAGCCGGCTCAAATGCTCCTTAATCCAGCGCGGGTATGGCATCTCTGATGATAAAAGATCTCTGACGATAGATCGGGCCGTCAAAGAAAGATGATCTACGAAATGCCATCAGTCCGAGTGAGCTGCTGAAAAGCAACAGTCCTCAAAGCACTGGCTATTATCGGCCATTATCTGAGCGGGTAGACGAACGAATGAGATTACAACAGGGCTGAGTGGCGCTAAACTATTAGGAGAACCAGCTCCGAATGCAACGGGACTACGTAACAGCCGATGGAATAACTGTTTTTTGTTGAGACAGATTTCATTGGTTGTTCTTCACTCGTCCTTGACAGATGAGTTGTATTCTTAGTATCACTTTTGACCGCTTGTACGCGACAATGATCAATAGATCAGCCGGTTCTGGTTTGGCCAAGCGCACCAGGCAATCAAGCGGCTATACAGACAGGGGTTCACGGTAATAAGAATGCATTAAGGAGACTGTGGTCCACAACATGAACAGTTCTCATGTCCTGAAAAATAACGGCTTCGTGAAGCTATTGGACTGGTTCATTCACGGCCCTTACCTTAACCCCGATCGGTTCACTCCAACAAATAAAGTTAGCCTGAATTGGTTACGTTTGACTTGTCATAAAAATGCGAAGTCTGCGCGTGGTGAAATTACGAATTATTCCTAAATCTAGCCAATGTAAATTTGGTGGTGGTAGCGCTGTTGAAGAGGATTAGGTGACAAAACAACCTGCGCTGCATTGTTCGGTGCAATCGGAGTACGTAGGCGAGAGTTGTCTCGAGTTGGCCAGTTCTATTCGACCACTGCCTCGACAATTCACAAACACGCTTAATATGGATGGTCGCGTCTGTGGAAGTGAGTCGGAGGCGCCTTGCATATAAGCCACTATCGATCGGAAAAGTGACTCCAGATTATATGTGGCCGATAGAAGCCAATCTACTCAAAGTATTTGGGATAAGTAGTACAGCCTCACACAGAGCAATTTCTACATGGTATTGTTCAATAGGTGTTGTAACACTGGACATACCATACTTCAATACAATGATATATTTTTAGCTAAACAATGCTCCCCCACCTCCGGTCACGGGATCTCCGACGGCACAAGTCTCCACAAAGTTCCGATAACGGTCATTCATTGTATAAGTAGGAATAAGATGCATACAGTAATAATAATACTAACAATAGTAGTAGTGTTGGTGGTGGGAATAGCAGCATTAATAAGAATAATGATGGCAAGAAAACAAGCAGTGATGTACAAATGGGCATGTTGAGTGTGTGTGTGTGTGTAGGTGACGCCAATGGAGCCTCGAAAAACACGCAAGGAGAGCAGAGCAAGCAAGGACAATCTCTACCAAGAATCGGAAACATTGCTGACTGGCAAAGACGGCTCGATAGCTGCCTGAGTATCAATCACAAAATGGAGAAACCGAGGTCACGGTGATATTGGGCTACTCACATAAAAGAAGTCAAGTGATCAAAAAACAATCCGAGATGGATTATTTGAATAAAGCGCTTGACAGGCTGTGAACCATCACTAAGTTATTGATAAAACCAACATTTTTTCTGGGAATCAAACGAAAAATACGCAGTCATGATAGCGGGGGGATGAACAAAACAAGAAGCGCGTTCGTTTGTAAAAGAAACAACAGAAAAACAACGAAAACAGCAACAGCGGAACCTGAGTCGATTCTGAGCCCGAGAATGAGGTCTACACAGACACTGTGGTGTATGAGGACGGGATACAGGTGAAAACCGACGGGAAATCCTGTGGTGGTGGGGGGGAGGGTGGTGTGCACCAAATCCGATAGACACCACTGACCTGACTCTTCGGTGAAGTGAAGAACAAGATCTGGGTGGGGGTTTAGTAGAACCGGAGGTGTTGTGTGGGTAGTCCAAGAACGCTCCGTGGGTGTAGCGGCAACCACAGGATACAAAATAAGAAATAATGGCAAGACAACCGGCGCAACTAAACTAATCGTGGTAACCTTGAATTTGTGAAGGTAAAACAGGTCTGGGATGAAAACTGGTCGAACCTGAAGAGCGAGATAATGACAACTGTACCTGGGCTTGTAGTGTTGGAGTATGCGGACCGAGCGACCGACCAAACGATCCCTCGACCTCCAACCACTCAACTCAGAAAACAGTGTGTGTGTACACAGACAAAGAGTGGCGCTTCAGACTCAGCCATCAGAGGGACATTGCAGCCAGAAAACAATGAATGATTTGGAAATCGTAAATACAACATTCACTTGGGTCAATTGTAACGCTCTGAATCGAACCCAGATCGTACGCAGTATCGTTAATTGCAACAGAGAAAAGAGAACAAGGGTTGCATCACGGATAATAACACTGCCCGGATGGCGGTACGATATTCAGACGCAGAATGTGGTGGTTTCGATGCAAGTCTTTATGTTATCCAGTGAGAGAAAAGCGAAGAGAAAGGATGACGAAAGACGTAGGCAGGAGCGGTAGCAACTTGTGTTCCAGCTATTGGACAAACAAACACAGCACACGCGCTCGGCAACATAGAACGAGGAAAAAGCTGAGGACAAGGTAGGCGTGAAGCAGGAGGGGTCAGGTGGGACGGACCTACACAGATAGACAAACAAGGATAAAATGATGGCCACAGAGACACTAATCCGACAGTAGGCAACAATACACCCCACACGCGTGTGTGTGTGTGTGTAAGGAGGATCAGGGAAGGCGGAGTAAACTTGTATGTGAATGTGAACAAGTGAGAGACAGGAGCAAATGACTGCGGATCTATGATGTATGGCGAGACGACGGTGCGCGAGGGGTGAGAAAGGGAAACGAGCGCAAAATGTCAAGTATGCACAAAATCAGCTCAGCTCAGCTCGGCGCGCTCCGCGTTCAGCTCACAGACGTGCATGGGTGATCGGGAGAGCCCATTTGACTGAGAACACGATCCAGCCATTGCAAAGGGCCGTTGAGATGAATTTCGATCCAACACGGTGTGCTTGTAACTGTCTGCCGCCTGAGAATAGAGAGGGAGGTGTGTGGATAGGGTGATGGACGGACATAGGTATCATACGAATCTGAGACGTGTCTGTTGGGTTGGAACAGGTGGACTGCTTGGCTTGACAAGTAGCCAAACAAAATCGGAACAAATGAACAAACAAACAAACAACAAACAAACAGGACACGATGGAGGTAAGCAACGGGCTAAAAAACAACTGGTCCTGTGCCTTCAGGTGAGGAGACCGTTCTCCGCTAGATAAGGTTGACAACTACACCTCGCTTAACGTGATGAAGGTTGACAAGTGGCCAACACTGGACGACAGTCTGGATCGATAGAACATGCTAAAGGTAAGATCACATTGTATTGATGGCCGACATCGATAACCGCATCGCATACATCTCCCAATGTGAAGACATCGGGAAAACCGGAGGTCACGATTCGCAGCGATAAGCACTGCATTGTCGATGCGCAAAGTTCTACTAGAGGGGAGTCAATGGGGCAATTTCTAACTAATTGTCTGCCAATCCGAAGTCGGTATTCGCTACTTTTGCCCCATGAGTGTTCAGGTGTGTGAGGGGCCTATGCACAGAAAAAGTTGATCGGACAGCGGGGTAGCGGATATCCAACTGGCTTGATTAGGGGTCAGTTGCGAAGGGTGTTGGCACTGGTAGCGAAACCCAACAGGGACTGCTGTTACTCCATATAAACCAGGGACTTCGGAGGTCATTCGAAGGATTCTAAACACAGCTAACATAAGAGTAGCTTTCCACTCTGCGCTCTGCACTGATGCAATTGGAGGATCGCTTTCCGGCAAAAGAACTAGGGATTATGTCTGCAAGATCAACTATGACGACTGCATTAAGGTCTACATAGGATAGGCGGTCAGGGAACTTCACACCAGAATCGGAGAGCACAGCCCCCGAGAAACGCAGTGGAATATCGAGCGTTGCTGAAAAACTCAGCAACGGCGGGAGACGCACTGGACAGAAAAAAGCTTTGGAAAATGTTGAAGTTTTGAGGTGGGTACTACGATCCAGTGTCAATACAACAGAAGGCCTAAAACTGGCGTGTGGAGAACGGTTGTGGACCGTGTTGGTATGCGGTTATCGGAGGGAGTCACCAACACAAGTAGCTTAGATCTGAATTGCATTTAATCTCATCCACGTTCCCTTCACAAACTAAACTCACAGACCTACAAAGACCAACAAAATCTATCAGTGACACCCAAAATGAATAGTCAATTGAAACACCTTGAAATGGAAGGTCTCAAAACTAATTTGAAACTCCCACAAACTACCGACCGTATGATTTTGACAACCATAATAAGCGACAAGACCCTGTAAGTGACATTTCACAGGGGTCTAGTGTGCTAAGCTGGAGTGGTTTCACTGATTGGCCCTCAGTCTGCCTTAAAACTTGGTGACCTGCTCACTTGGCCTGATGAAGCTTTTGTGTCAAAAGCGAGACGTTGTCCGGTTAAAGACCACCGATCGTTTACCAAGGCCGTCTGAAATGAAAGCCAATGGTCATCGGGTGATGAGAACAACAAGGAATACCAGTCATGTTGCCCCGCTGTGAGGAACTCGAATTGTGGGCGACATGCAATAGTGCATTAAGAAGTTGATCCATGCTGAAAAGTCGGGAGGCATTGTGCATCCTCGTTGGGATTCATCAGCAGTGTGCAGACCACGGAACTCCAGGAAGTCGCGAACCCGCGACCTTCCGGGCAGTAGTTGGAACACTGAACCATGGGCCGTTCGTGCCCGGGTGCACAACGTAAGACCGGCAGTTTCTGAAAGGGGAGCCAACTGACCTTAGTTCTTGCAGAACAGCCTATATTTAGAAGATGGATGATTTACGGGTTGAGCCTAATAGGTGCATTTTCGAAGCAACAGTGGTGAGGATAGCGAACTAAGTGGTACTTTTTTTCATTATTTGATACGAGGAGTTGTAGTGTCCCAGCCTATGCGTACTTTCTGTGAGATATAAGTCCAGGTAAGAAAATATGGTGAGCCCATCATCTGAATCAATCAAACCGCTTCTTCCTCACACAACCCTACATCTTCGATATAAAAGATGTCCCGAAATTGACAAAATCGGTGCACCCCTTCTCCTGATGAGTATATTCGGAGGGGGGGCACGTTCGCAGTTCTAGTCCCGAAGCAAAAGTGCAACTGCAGGATTAAAATCCCGTTCATGCGTCCCGAACGTCGAACCGAGGCGCCCAATGAATCCCACGGATGTGTTGTTCTAACTAACTCTTCAAGGGTTCCGACTACTCACAGCTTAATAAAGTTGGAGATCTCTCATGTTCGGAGAGGTCCCAGAATACCTCGCACGTAAAAGTACCCAAACTCTTATCCGTAGTTCCCAAATAGACGTACCGGTAGCCATACCACAAAAAAATACGTTTCGACAAGCCGGCCGCACCGAGCGGGAGCAGTCGAGGATTTGAATTGTATGATGTGATGAAGATCGTCCCAAAGGGCCCCATCCCGACCTCGAATTCTTGTCAACCGTAAGTCCAGGGAAACTCAGTGGTCCCCCATGCATGCGATCCGATCAGTCTTTCGAACCGCCAAAGGGGACATTACCCACGCTACAACACAGCAAACGCACGCTGAAACGTGGAACATGCCCAGAGTACTCCTTAGTTCCTGAAGAGACTCATGTGGCGATACAATGTCGCCGAGTTGAACGTGGCGGAGTACTTGACATAACACGGCTGCTCGTAGTCACGACAACAATGTTCAAACCTCTCGGGGTACAGCAGTGCTCGCTGTCAATTGTGATGACATAGTGCGTCAACCTATTGATTCACAATAGAGCGACATTTATCGCCTATGCGTTCCATGTATCAAACATGCCACACGTCGCTGAAAGGGCAATGAAATATGTACCGAATGGAACTGCGGAATCCCTTCTTACGGATAGATCACGTGGATAAAATGAATCAGAGGATACTAATAAGATCAATAAGTAACTCACCGATAGTCCGCACCCCATCCCTTGACAAAGCTCATTCGTATCGTGCACATGTTGGTGAGCGAATAGACCGCTTCAAATCCGCGTGTCACGCTCTCGGTGAGCAGATTTGCGAACTCTTGGTTGTTGAAAATTTTCAAATTGCAACCAGGTGGGATTTTGCACACGGTGGCCAAGTGCCAATTGTACATGTGGTTACAATTTGGGGATTGGACAAATATGGCGCTGTCACTGAGACACTCAGCGAATACCTCACCACCGATGTAGTACAACTTCACGCCTCGACCTGTGTGATCGCAAATGGGAGGTGGAATGAACAGTCAAGCAAAGTTCAACAGAGCTCATTCGCTGAAGAAAGGTTGAGAATCGGAAAAAAGAACAACCGTTTCTCCCGGCTAATCGGATAGAAAGTTGGTTGAAGAACACGCTCGCTAGTTCACAGGTGATCATAAATATCAGCGAAAACTGCGGTAGGCACTGCGTATGATTGCATTGTTCTCTATCGTATTGATGAAATGTTTGGTAAACAGAGCAATGGTTGTCCCCGTTTTCAACATCACCGACACACCAGCCGCCAGAATTGCAAGCGGCACACGAAAATGTGCAAAGAACTGGGTCAAACGGACGTTCCAAATCAAGACCACGGAAGAAAGGACCACACAAAATCAAGACAATTTGAGTTGGATGTGGAGGTGCGGTGTGACCAACTGTTGTGTCTTAAATCGATTAAAAGGAAAAGAGAGGGTGTTGCTGTGTAAAATTCTCACCTAAGATCGGAAATCGCCAGACGGTGAAGCACGTTTAATCCTGACTAGGGGAACCAACCTGGCAAGTGTTCAGCCTGGCGGTTGCAGGTCACCAATTTCCCCAAGGCTAACTGTGATTCTGTGCAAAACAAGCAACGCACTACAGCATTCATAAAGTGTCAAAATAAAACCACCACACTACCACGGTTTCCTTCGAATCGTTGGACTCCTGACAAGACATCGAAACTAGCTCGAGAAGCAAAATTTGGGTTCCGATCAGTAATTTCAGGCCTCAATCACTCAGCGAAGGATGGAACGGACACATCATCGATTGAAGCCCCAAAGTGTGGTTAGTACGTTAACCACGCTGCACACGTCCCAGTGTTCAGATGTCGATTAACTTCACATCTGCCACACAGCGGACAATGGCGCGAACCAGCAACACGAAACTGCCCCGGGGAAATGGTCAGATGTGGGTTCCGTCGCGTTCGCTTACTAGGCATTCCAGTATTCACATTGATGCTATTTAATACGTTTACATTCTATCATGACCAAGTTCGTTTTAACGAGGCATCGGAGAGGGCTGGAAACATGAAACGAGGACGGAGACGGGGCAAAAAAACAGGAGAGGAAAAACAGAGGACCAGAAGGAGGCCAATCGAGAAAGACGGCTGTGACAGACATGGTGGATTGATTACGACATGCGGTTGGGACAAGGATCTGGTCATGATGCTCGTTTGAAAAGCCTCTCTTTGCTTTCACCTATCGCAGTTGTCCGTCCCAAAAATTATCCCAATGTTCAGTGCTTGCGGGTCTTCAGTAATCAACTTTTCCTACCTCCTAACTGTATACACGTACTGCAAACTGGCAAATTTTGGTCAATAACCAGTAGGATAGGCAGCACCGAAGAAATCTGTCAGATTTGGCTTATTCGAGCAGCGAAAATGAGACGTCTTCAGGTGTTTGACAATCGTTGTCTCAGAACCACGGCTCGTGTGGGTTGGTGTCGGCGAAACCGTAACGAGACAGTTAGAAAGCGCAGTTTCGGTTTCCAACGGGTACTTCCATTGAAGAATGTGTCCGGAACCAGAAGCTGCGTTGGTTTGGACATGTTTTACGCATGCCGAACCATCGTTTGCCGAAGAGAGTGCTGTATTTCCGTGTCCAGTTCAGAGTGGCGTAAACAGAGAGGTGGTCAATCCTTGACTTGGCAGAGGAATATGAAGAAGATCACCAAACGCTTGGGTGCTGTCGGTGCTACTCGCCTTCCAGGATGGGGACCGCGTGATCCTCATTGTGCCTGGTTGGAGACACTACAAGATATGGCTGCCAACCGATGTCAGTGGCGTTCTTGTTGTCAGTTTCTATCCAGATTGCC